CATCTGTGCTCTTCCTGTCAGTAGAACTGTGGAAGCAAATGGATTCACAGAAGATGCACAGTGAGCTGCAGAGTGACACGAGTGCCGACCGACTGCCACAGGGACTCCTGTGTAAACAGTATTAGGCAGGTGGTCATAATGTTATGGCTGGTCAGTGTACACGTCAAAATAAATGTAAAAAACAGAAATTATACAATCAAAGCAACTCCTCACATTAGTTTTAGTAATTTCAGTCTGAGACTTTAGGCAGTGCCTTTACCCCTTCCTGTGCCCATGATCCTACAGTATGTTCACTCAAACCTTTCACTATTATTCTCTAGCAATAACAGGCCCACTCCCTAAATCGATCTCGGCCTCACACACAAACCACTCTGCGTTCTGTGCTTGTATGCATACCATTCATTTCAAGTTCAGCACCTTTTCACTACTCATAAGCAAGCTTAGTAATCAAACAACCAGGTGGCTAATTATCCTTTCATTCATAATGCAAACATGAGGTTCTCCTCTAAACACAAATATAGTATAGATCATCAGGGCTTCTGAAATTCCTTTAAAGGTCAGCTGTGAATTTATTCTACTTGTGAGAAATTCTGTGGGTAATACAACCAAGGGAATCTTTCATTTCAACTAGACTGACACAATGTACTCTTGTGGATTGCCGCGCTAACGTCCAGACATTCACTGCTGACACATCTCATCTCATCTGCAACCATCAGAGAAGGGTGGAAATAGATCAGGGCCAGTTAATACAGTCAGACAGCTGACCGAGTGGGCAGGGGGGACACATTCAAAGACTTACATATCTTCCCTTTGTCTCTGTGGCCGCTTGTTGAAAGATCGGCTGCATTCTCTTACACACACCACACCCTGCACACACAATAGAACAGCAGAGGTTATTACAGACAAGTCAATGGTACCCCTGCTCTCACAGCATCAATACCACTGTCAAAATCCTTTTCCTACTATCTGCTAGGGAAATTGCTTTTTGTCAATAGCAAGCTTGCAGTGTGCCATCTCCTGTGAAAGCTATGATATACTGACAGACACCGAGCATAATAACAGCAAAACGCACTGAAGCATTTTCTACTGAGCAGTGATAGGAGACAAGACAATTAAGTCCACACATGACAGAGTTCTTTAAGCGCTGTTGACACAATCAGTAGGTTTATCAATTAGCCATTCAACTACATTTAGTTAAAATGTGATTAACAAATCAACTGTTTGACTCATTTAACAAGAATCTGTCTCTTTAGAAAACAGTGAGAATTAGCAGATTTCTTCTTTTATGTTACTGTAGAGTGAACGTCTTTGTGTTTGGACTGATGCTCAAACAAAAGAAACTATCTGAAGATGATCAGCAACTTGTTTGTTGTTTTTGATTATTAAAACTCCACAGCATGTTCAAAGACAGTGTTAATAAATGTAGAAAAACTAAAGACAGTGCAGTATTGATCCTGTCTACATTCATTATACTCTCTTCAAATCGTGGCATCTTATATGCTAAGTTCATTTCATATTCTCTGCACGTTAATAGATGCTGTCAGTTTCTCTGCCTCACAATATGTTCAGTCTAGCAAAGAGAGCAGCACTTGTCCCTGTTACTGTGAGCTACTGAACACTATAATAATGAAAAGACTCACATGGAGCGTAGAACATCATAAGGACCGGCCGCTCCTCTTTCTTCAGCAGCTTCCTGAAGTCCTTAAAAACAGTAAGATGATTAAGAAGCTTCATTACCTACAGTAGAAATCTTAAATATTTACTGTAGCTACAGTGACTTCTGAAGGTAATCTGTGCACTTTTAGCGCTTTATTGTGTGGCGACCCCTAACGGGAACAGACAAAAGTACTATTAGTAGATTTGTTCATTTTATTGCACATTTATTAAAAAGCCAAAACTTGAATTTCTCATTTCCAAAACTATTCAGACCCTTTGTGCTCAGGTGCATCCTATTTGTTTTAAGGTGTGCGTTGACATCACAGGCCTTAATGTTCAAACCTGATTTTTTCATTAGAGCCAATTTCCATTTGTGTTGATGGTTCACATTCATGCTTGTAGGTGCCATTATTCAACTCCAGGGTGAAAGCTGCTGACATCCACATGTGCAGATTTAAATGAAACATGAGCCATGTGCACACAAGAATAACAACGTCATTTGTGCAACAGTCAAATCCTGCAGCTACAATAAGTTCCTTCCAGTTTGGCTCTGTGACACTGAATGATGGCGACAGGCAATATGTGCAAGTGTAAAAAAGTGAAGCATTAAAAAAACCCTCTGTGGCCCAGAGCTTAAAGGATAAGACAGGCCATCTTTTTACAGTAATAGTATTTTCATCAATCTCCATACAGAGACTAAAACATCAGTGAATTGCCTCTGCTCATGGTTAATGTCTATCAGCTGTCAGACCTGGATCGGCTTGTTCATCTGTGTGATACAGTCTGTACGATTAAAAACACATCAGAGAGACGCACCGCTGCACTAGATGACTAGCGGAATGTAAACAAAGCACATGATGTCGTGCATGCATAGGTGACTTACCCTCGCTTCAGAAAATTATGGCTGTTGGGAGCTTTTTGGGCAACATACTCGGGTCTGGGGTTTGCTAATGAAGAAACATGTCACCCATGTTTCACTTATGTGCTTTTAATCCTTTTTGAACAACGGAGGTCTATGGCACAGACGAACAAGCTGATTCTGGACCGACACACTGTCAGACATTAATGCTGAGTAGAGGCAAATCATTGGTGGTTTTAGTCTCTGTATGGAGACTGGTGAAGATACTTCATATAGAAAATGACCAGCCTTATCAATAAAGCTTATTACATGCCAGCGTAGACCAAGCCACTTGTTTTCTCCTCTCCGAGTGACTTGGATCTGATCTTTTCATGGATGTGTGAAGAAATCTGACTGATGGCAAACATGTTTTATCTGTTTACATGAGACAATAAAAGTGAATACTTTCAGAAACCACAGTAAAGTGGTGCTACAAGTGCTACATTTGTCCAAAACACCACTGACAAATGGTGCTACATTTGTCCAAAACACCACTGAGGTTAGTATTCTAAAAGTGCTTCTCTGTTTAGCACACAAAGCTCTAAATTAACTGAGCACACCATCATCTCTGCTTTATCAGCAGCATTAGACTGTGCACTTTACACAGTCATCACATTAGCAAAGACAGAAAAAAGGGCTTTTCTTCTTTACAGCAGGTAAATTAGGCCACATACCAGTTTCTCTTCCTCATCATCACCTTCATGAGCTCAGCTGCTTCCTTAAAAAACCCTACTCAGCACAATGTTATGTTGACAAAGTCAACAAGGCTTTAGGTACGAGTGGACAGGCGGCTGAAAACCGACCGGACTGCTGTTCATTAAAGGGCTTTTTAAAATGCATTATACATCTCTGGGTGTCTTGCGGTTTGTGTTGCAGAGGTGGACATGCTGCTGATCAAACCCTCACATTACCTGCTTCCTTGTAATCACAGTAGCTGTTTGTCCATATTAATGTTCTGGATGTCTTCTGTTACCAGTGCAGTCAAAGCTGCTTCATGATTTATCCAGAGCCCAAAATGCTGTTTAGGTTTCCTACTTACTTTTTCTGTCTCTAGGTGAACGATGTCTTTCGCCTCAGGGTTCTCCTCCCACAGCGGGGGTCCTGATGGGTCTTTCAAGAACGCTACCATGGACTGAATGGAGGAACACCAAAACAAAGACAGGAAAGTCACAGTGATGATTCTTTCAAATTCCAACAAAGGCATTACTTACATCATGCAAAAACTTGTCACTGGCACAAAATATTCCTGTGAGCAACCGAGTGACTGGAGCTGATTTACGTGCACTGCTGAAGTCCCTGCTAAAATTAGTACAGGCGACACTGTAGGCTGTGCCAGATGGAAGCTCCTATAGACCAACATGTTTGTGCAGCCCACAGGTGTCAAAGCCATTTCAAAAGCTTTAAGTGTCTAGAAATGGGTTTGGTAAAGCTTCCTGTAAATAAAATGAACCATATGTCTGTAGAAGCAACAGCAGGGAACATTCAGCAGTGTAACAGTGACAGTGTGGACACAGGCAGAATATTTAATGCCTGTCAAGTTATTATCAGGATTACTTTGTAATGATTTAAAGTGAGACATTTGGTGTTTTATTGTTTCAGATGCTTTTTCATCTGTCAGGAAAATAAATACAGGCAAACACTAGTAAGCAGAATAATAAAACCATGGCAGCCAAACAAAGTGCAGCAGCTATCAAATGTCCTTATGATGGGTTTATTTTGAACTCACTAAAAACTAACAGATGAAATGAGTTCTACATATTTCACTGAGTCTTATCTTATGGCCACACAGGGAAAGTAACTGAGTACATTTACACAAGTGTTGTACTTAATAACTGGAGAGAACCAAGCATTAACAACACTGTATAGGACTCTTTTAAGGTAGAAGCACATTTATTTT